TAGGCAATTAATGCATGCCCTACACCACCCCTTATCGTGAAAATATTTACTCACATAACTTCGTCCGCCTTAGAGCCTCCAGTGACCATATTTTTTCGTAGAACTTTCCTATCCCACCTGCCTCTCTTTTCTCCGACCCCGCCTATCCCTCCTCCCTCCTCTCGCCTGCTCCACTTTTCCAGCCCTCCCCTCCTTGTCTCCCCAAACCTCTACAGTGGTGTTACAACTGCCACAATCCACAGACTGTACCCATTTATTCTTCCATCCCCAACAACCGTTCAAACGGCATCACAAAGGGGACTCTATTGCCCAAAAAGGACTTTCAACATCGGCTAGGGACCAGTAAAACAGAGCAGACCGGGAGCCTCATGCCTCAACATCAGCAGCAGTAAGATTATTGCAAAATAATAAAACTTGCATATTATGCACGCTAACCGCAAAATGTCTGTATTAGGCAGGTATCATACGCTTACGATGAGAACCAGGCCCGAACCATATATTTTCATACACTGTTCACCCTCTGCCCCTGCCTCTCCCTAACCGGATTTTGCGTCTACAAAATGCCTCTCCACATACCGCAAAAGTCAGCTCATTTCCAGACAGCCACAGGCCGTAGCTCCACAGCTTCTTTCATCAATGCATGTGGGCATAATATGCAAATTTTCGAGTAGAACAAATCCTAACGATCGTGGTATTTTGTGATCATCAGGAGGATTATGTTTCTTCCGGCAGCCCACCTGTTTGGCGAGTTGACATGCACGATCGGGGCTCGATGAAATCTCGTAGAAGAAGACACTATAATTTAGAGCGAGGCCCAAACGAACTGGATGGGTAGTCGAAAGCTGTGCTTTGGCAATCTCAAGTGCCTCCGAGTAGGCTTTCTGACCCGAATCCGCCACCGCTGAAACAAACAAACCAAAACCACCATGTGTTCACTGAATTTTTTTACATTTCATTATCCCGCACAAACCTGTTTAGCAAGCTGGCAAGCCTTATCTGGCGCATTCAGTATTTCGTAGTAGAAGACCGAAAAATTAAGTGCAAGCCCGAGTCGAATCGGGTGTGTCGGCTGCATTTTGTCCTTCGCAATGTCGAACGCTTCCTGGTACGACTGCTGGGACTTCTCGACTACCACTACAATTCAAGAAACAGAACTCAAAACGCGAGCAACAACGTGCTGATGCCATCAATGTGATATTTCCACTTAAAACCCGCAAACAGATCGACGGCTGTGCCCAAAAATCATGCCCCATGTAAGCAACCCTGTTTGGACCGCACAAATGCCTTTGGTAAGGCTTCGTGCGCCCCTTCCTTATCGCTTTTCGCCTCCTTTTTAACCAGTTTAACACGATGCGGACTTCCTCCCCACCTCTGATGGTTCCTACCTCTTCCCTCCCGTCTCCTTCCCCATCCTCTTCTATTAATACCACTGCCTTCTGTAGATTTCGAACTCCCGTCTCAGTTACCATCCATGCATGGTTTCAAGACAAACTGAAGAATACCTTAAACATGAAAACGTACATTATTAGGACTCTCCGGGGATAATGACTACACAGTATTCTCGTCCTCTATTTCTACCTTTTCCTTTTATTAGTCAATTTCCTTCACAAATTTAAAAACAATAAACAGACAGCAAGCGACTAAGACTACTGGTAATAATAACATATTTTTCAACAATTTTAATACGCCAGAGTGCACTCCACTTCGTTACTGCTCCCCCTCCCTCTTAATTTATTCTTTCCTTTCAGATGTGGCCAGCTACGAAAATCTTTAGGAGCTCTGTCAGCTTTGTTTAATGGTGACGGGCACAGGTGACATCAACTGTTTCCATTTCACAAAACTGTAAGGACTCTTCCTGACTTCCCGAATATAAAAGAATTACGAGCATGGAAATGGCCTGCACAACCGCCCCAGCTTTATAACTTAACCATGTCCTACCCAAATTGCAGATCACAAGCGCCAAGCTAGAAAGATGAAGCAGGTGAAGATCCAATGCGTTTTTTTAGCGAGCAGTACACAGGGCGTGTATATTCAAAAACTTACTGTAATCAGACAAGGTTTCGAGTCTTTCATTACTTAAAAATGCTGATAAAACATATGCAAATGCCATCGCACCCGGAGCTCACTAATGTAAAACGCTGTGCTTACCGGTGCGATCCTCGCCGCTAGCAACTTCAGCCAGGTATCGATAATAATCGCCCTTCATCTTCAAATAAAAAACCTTCGACTCAGGGTTGCCAGCCTTTGGAATGAGGTACTTGTCCAGCAGGTTCTGCAAAATGTGATAATGAGTTGATTTGACTGCGCATGAAAACAGCATCTGCGGTACGGTCAATTAAAAAGTACTACTCCAAATTTGAAAAGCACAGTCGCTGACCAATCGCGCAGCTCCAGTCATTTCTCAGCGAATGCCTAAACAAAATCACTCACGAATTCACAAACAAAGCGTGCAAAAAACAACTTTTGACATGCTCTTCTTCGGTTGGAAGCAACAAAAAACATACCAAAACATCCAAGCAGATGTCACGCAGCTCCTTCTCAACCTTTTCACGATATTCCTTGGCCATCTGCTGCTTCTTTTCCGATCCTTCCGTCTTCTGCTCAATCGACGAAATGACACGCCATGACGAGCGACGAGCGCCCACAACATTCTGAAAGTAGAAAAAAAAGTAAGCCGTTAAACCCCACACTCCAGCACTGCAAAAAAGCAATCCTTTCATGATCAAAGATCGCCTACAAAACATTTTCGACTCCCGTAATGATAGAGGCCAAATACCCCGACGTATAAAATCGTTCAAAATCATATGCACAAAGCAAACATGGCGAGTACTGTGGCAGAATTCGCATGTCCATGATAAATTTAATAAATTTTTTAGACGTTTGCTGAAGAGGAATCAAATTCGTCCCTCTCAAATAAGCATTAATTAGGCACGGGAATCACTCTACCAAACAAAACCAAATGGAGGAAGGAGCTCTAAGTCAACTACACGAGAAGCTAATCTCTCGTAAGAACGCTCAGAATCCAGTACCGAAACTCCTCATGCACTATGTGCTGCATCAGTTGCAAAAAAACAACCCAGGCTGAAACGCACCAGGCGAGCCGGTGCGATCATGCGTTTTTGCACAATACTTGAAT